CATACGAACCCTTTGTACGAACAAAAGTAAGAGAAATTTAGGATAAGAATACAAACATGTTCTTGCATGAGGGCCAGTGCCCTGCTGCAGAACTCCTGGTTGGATTTCTCCTTCAGTGTGTTGGTAAACACAGAGTTCATGGTTCTGTTCACCACAGCAAGTCTTCCAGGTCCTGAAGCTGTAAAACAGCCCCAGACCACCACTCTACCACCACCATGTTTTAGTGTTGGTCTGTTCCTTTACACCTACACCAGATGTAACTTACACCTTCCAAAACGTTCAACTCTTGTCTGTCAGTCCACAGAGTTTTCTCCAAAAGTCTCAGGGATTATAGATGTTTTGTGGTAAAACTGAGACGAGCCTTTATGGTGGTTTTGCTCAGCAGTGGTTTTTGTCTTGGACCTCWGCCATCCTATCCATTGTTGCCCAGTTCTTATGGTGGAGGCAGGTGAGGCCTGCAGTGTTTTGGATGTTGTTGGGGGGTCTTTTGGACCTCTTGGATGAGTCGTACCTGAGCTCTTGTGGTAATTTTGGTCAGCCAGCCGCTCCTGGGAAGGTTTACTGCTGTTTCATGCTTTTTTCATTTGTAGACAGCAGCTCTCACTGTGGTTCTGTGGAGTCCAAGAGCTTTAAAAGTAGATGTATAACCTTTTCCAGACTGATAGATCTCAGTTTGTTTCTCATTTGTTCCTGAGTTTCTTTTTCAGCATCTTTTGATCTACTTTACTTTGTCAGGCAGGTCTTYTTGAAGTGTTTTTTGATTGAAAACAGGTGTGGCAGTAATCAGGCCTGGGTGTGGCCAGGGAAACTAAACTCATCTTTACAAAGATGTGATGAACCATAGAGGGCTTTAACCTTTTCACACAGGGTTCTGTAGGTTTGGATTTCTTTTCCCCTTACTATTAAAGACCTTCATTTAACTGCATTTTGTGTTTCTTTGTCTCATATTTAAATGTGTTTGGTGATCTGAAACATTTAAGTGTAACAAACATGTAAAACAGAACAATTTAACCACAGTTACTGCAAGTCAACAGTGGAGGGGCCGAACATCCAGCAATTAGTTATTATTCAGGTTCAGATTCTCTTTATTGTCATTCAAACATCAGGGATACAGTGTACAACTAAATTATGATGCATATTAGCACACGACATAAACAGCTTGATAAACTATAAAGAATGTAAAGTTAGAAATGCTAAATTAAACAAAGAAAAATATGTTAGGCATATAAAAAGAGAAAAAATATAATAATAAAATAAAGTAAAAGAGTGAGGTAGAGTCCAGGTTGAGGTGGTATAAATAGAAAGATTTACATATAAGGTGCATACATTTGCATTTGGGCAATATGTAACAGTATGTGTGCAAAAACAAGGAGCAGGTAGATGAGATCCTGTTATATTGTTGGTTTTAAAGTGTTTCAAGAGTCAGAAAATGTGGCCCTAACCAGGTTGAGTGGGGTCTTTGGTGATTCTGGTTGCTCTCCAGAGACGGTGTTGTTTGGCCAGTATTATTACGTAAATAAACCAAGTATTACAAAGATCTGTTACCTGTGAAATAGTTTATTTTGCTG